CGACATGAACCATAAATGCATTTATCTACTGCCGAGGCGTTCGGCCCACTCCACAAGAAAAAAGGATACTTTATAAGCATTTGACTTAAACGTTATTAAAGGCTAATATACAATGTAATACAAATTCCATTAACGGTCTTTCACAATTCCTCTAACAAGTTCCAATATAATTTAGGCACTTTAATTAATAAATAGGGTGCAAACATCTCAAATAATTCATGATTTGGGTCCTAAGACTACCCGGACATAGGCATAGTTAGTAGCTATGCACGGACTCCCATCACCTCGTACATACGTAGCCCCCACAATTAGAAGCAAACATTAATTTAAATCACCTACGGGGTAAATTCTCTCTTAAAAGGTTAGACAAGAGACTTACCTCGTCTCAAGGCTCACTTTCTGATCACAATTTCGCTCTAAAGCCTCAACTCGATACCGAACAATACGAAACTAGTCAAATGTTATATAAATTAATCAATACATATTCAAAAATTCATATTATAACTATTAGAGTGATTACCCAACTCCAATTGTAGGATTCCTAAAATTCGTTCTCGGGCTCACGTGCCCGGATTCCAGAAATATTTGAAGAAAGTTGTTACCCATAACCTCACGAACTCAAATATATAATTTTTACTTAATTCCCTAACCATTTTTGTGGTTAAATCTAATTTTTATCAAAACCCAGGTTTTTCATCTAAACCCATAATTTTTCACAATTTTACATATTAAAATCTACCCATAATCTATGGATTTAATTCACATTGTATAGGGATTACTTAACTCAAAGTAATAGGTGAAAACCGCTCTCCAAGAGCTCCAAAATTGCCCAAGAAATGAAAGAAAATGAGTCAAAATAGCCTAAGTCCCGCATTAAATAAACCATTCTGTCTCCAGCGATTTTCGCACCTGCGGCTCCTTGGCCGTATCTGCGAAAAGTGCCTCGCAGATGCGGTCCTCCCCTCAGCTGGCTTCCTCGCTTCTACGACCAACAGCTTGCTTCTGCGAGACCTCTTCTGCGGTGAGCTCGTCGCACTTGCACCTCCCCCCGCTTCTGCGATCGTCTTCTTCGCACCTGCGCTTCCACAGGTGCGGTCCTCCTCCCCGCTTTTGCAGTCCCTGGGCAGCCTTTGCTAGGCCGCTTCTGCGATTACTGGCTCGTTTCTGCGAGCTCGCACATGCGGCTGGCCTTCCGCGTATGCGATTAAACCAGAAGCTGGATGCTTCAGCCATTTCCTCTAAGCCCAAACTTGGTCGGCGCCTCGTCCGATTAACACTCGGGGCCCTCGGAGCCCTGTCCAAACATACCAATAAGTTTGAAATCATAAAACGGACTCGCTCACACCCTCGGAACGCATAAAACAACATCAAAAGTAATAATCACACCCCAAACCTAATTGAATCAACTTATGAACTTCAAGTTCTTCCAACTTACTCCGAACGCGGCGAAACATATTTAAACTACTTGGAATGACACTAAATTTTGCGTGCAAGTCTTAAATCACCATACTGAACTATTCCCCGGTTTGGAACGGACCTCGATAGCATCAAAACCTACTCCAGACCAAATTTAAAAAACTTTAAAACCTTCAAGGTGCCAACTATCAATATTAAGCGTCGAAATGCTCTCGGATCATACAAAACTCGATCCTAATATACGCCCAAGTCCAAAATTATCACACGAACCTATTGGAATTGTCAATTCCTGATTCCGAGGTCGTTTACTCAAAATATTAATCAAAGTCAAACTTAGCCTTTTAAAGCCAAATTAAGGAACCAAGTATTCCGATTTCAACCCGAACCCTTCTAAATCCCGAACTAACTATCCCCCCAAGTCATAAAACAGTAAAAGCATATACGGAAAGTCTTATTTAGGGGAACGAGGATCTAGAAAGCAAAATGACCGGTCGGGTCGTTACATGTATAAAACCTAGTAAATTCATATAAATACATTAACCGAGCACTTTGTAGGCGTTTGGACATGAATTCCAATTTTTTTTTTTCAAATTTTGAATTTCACTAAAATTTGGATTGAAGATGAAGTTGTGTTTGGTTATAATATTTTGCAACATATTTGAATGTCTTTTTTTCAAAATCATGAAACATAATTTATACCCCACAATTTATTAAAAAAAAAATAATCAAAACCATCCCAATTTGATTATCCTACTTTAAACAAACAATCAAACATGCTATTGTTTAACTATTATCATATTCTGCTTTACTGCAACACACAAAAGATGCAAAATCAATATCACATGTTCTAATTCTAGTGACACACAGAGAAGGTATAAAAGCAGACATAGCCACAAATTTTTCATAACCATATAATCAAACTTCTAGTAGGCAGAGTTCAAGAATCAACTAAGACTAGTGGGAAAGGCAGCCACACACTTTGTTGAGAAGAAGACATGTTGCTTGCATTTTGGGTTTGTGACTTTATGAAAAGGAAAGTGGGTAATTATTGATTAGCTAGGTTAATAACTGATGGAGCTTTTTTCTAAATTTTAAAAATATAGGGTAAATTTGTAAAACTAAAAAATAACAACCTTCCAATTTTTAATTGAAAAACTGGTTTTCACCAGTTTTTCAAATTTAAAAATGCATTTTCAAGTGAGAATGAAAAAATTATAAGATTTTGATAATCAAACACTATTTGAAAAAAAAAAAAAAAAAAAATTCTTATTTCCAAACATGCTCTTAGTCTTATTCGCAATTTTCAGATTAAAAATAGTTGCGCACCTACTGTTTGAAAATGATGGATTCGGTACTATAAACAAGTATCAGGTATATGATTCGTCGATTCAGAAAGGAGGATAGTAATGACAATATGATATCTAACATAAAACTTTTCAATTTAGGATGAATCCTTGTAACAAAATCCAACCACCACTATTTTACCATAATCCATCATGAATTTAATACTCTCCCAGTTAAAGTAATTGCATTTGCACCCGTGGGATTGTCCACTTGTGTTGCTTATTTAAATCCGGTAATAAACGAGTGTCGACCGTACAAAGGCCAAAAGGGAAGGTAGATAGAGATGGTAATTGCACCAATAAATTCACCAAAGATCTCCCTATCAGATCTCCTCTGCTAAAAACTCCAATTTTGCTTGCATCATCATCATTTCATTTTTGCCCCAAAAGTAAAAGTACTGTTCCTTTACTAAAGTACACAGCTTGTTCAACAGTAGTACACCCCTTACTGTTTCTTGTTTTTGTATCTTTCCATTCATTATTATTTGCCTTAACCATTTACTTGTTTCATTCAGGTAACAAAAGTATGTCTTTCTCTTGCTTTCTTTACTCTCTTTTCTTATCAACTTTATTTTTAAAATTTTACTGCCCTCAAGTTATGGCTAAAAAGCAGTGGCCTTTTTACGTGTGTTTGAAAATATTTCCTTGCCAAGAAAATACACTGCATGCCTTGTACAGGAGTTTGAACAGAAAGGAATCCAGATATGTTGGTTCTGATTATTATTGCAGTATATGGCAGATAAAGAGAGGAAAAGAAAAGGGGGTGGGGGGTAAGTTTTGAGGGGCCTGTGAAAGGAATGGGGCCTCTGATTTTCAAAAGGCTGCAACAGAAATGAGTGGAACTGCACTGCTACTACCTCAACTAGTAGGAGTGTTGTAGTAAGTAACATTTTCCTTCCAGAGCAGATATTTATTCTCAAGGGTCCTTTAATTCTTTCTAGTGCTAATTATGCAAATAATTATAATATTTCTTTAAGAAAAAAATTATTATAGGGTGAAGGAAGGGGAAATGAAGATGGGATTAGGAGGCGAAAATCGCACTCTCACCGACAAGATGAAAGTTCAGGCAACAATATTTGCATTAAGTTATATGAGAATTATTATATTTGCAATGCGAAGATTAAACTATTAAGGATAAGAGTTTTTTTTTAAAAGTATTTCATGTATAACAGTCACCTAATTATTATCATAGCATAACAATTCCATCATTATTAATCTCCGCATAAATAATGTTTGCGTGATAATATCCGTGTAACTAGTATGTGAATCAAACTCCAAAAGGTAATTTGTCTTTAAATATTTTAATTTAATTATTATTAATATATATTTTATTTCACATACTGTCAAGTATAAAATAAAGTATATAAATTCTCCATAATTTAATACAACTATTATTTAATACCGTCGATAAAACAATACATAAAATTATGCAAACTTTATTCATTCAGTGAACCAGACATCGGGTAAGTTATGTATGGAATATTTTTTTCAATCCCTCTAACTTAACATAGTATTATCATGCAAAATTTTATGTTGGGACTAATATTTAGCGTTCTAATTCTTAGAATTTTACACATATTCTTGTGGTCTAAATAAAAATTTGGGGTTGAGTCGAACCATCTCTTAAACTGTAGATCGGCCACTGCTTGCCTTTTCACACACTCACTAGTCAGTCCTTGTTTATTGATATTCTATTCTATGTTTGCATATATGTCGTTTGTTAGAATTTCTAGAGAAAATAATGCATGCATTAACTTTGTGTATTAGTAATATTTTGTTCGGTATACCTTTTCAATTTATGTATAACTAATATAAGTATTAGTTATACACTCTATTTGGTATTATCCTATGTATAGCTAATGCATAAAAAACTACGACATTAGCAATACAAAGGCTATTAATGCATGCATTAGCATGCTTAAAGATAAAATTATCCTAAAAAGTCCCTTAAGTTAAAGAATATGAAGGGCATTTTTGTAAACAATTAAATTTCTTAAAAATTATGCAATGCATTTTAATTTTTAATACACCACACCAAACATAAGAAATAATCTCTGTATAACTAATGTTTGCATTACTAACTCATACATTACCAACCCCGCATTACATATACACCTTATTTAGCATTATTGTTATACGCCCAGCCAAACGACCCCTAAAAGTGTGCATGAAAATATGAATGATATTTTCCTTTGTTTTACTCATGTGTGGCTCTTCTCTCCCTATCTTTTCATAATGGGTCCATAAATCCATACTCATAATTCATCTCCCTCCCTTCTGCAAAACAAAGAAGCCCATTTTTTGGCTTTTAATACTTCTCTCACTCTCATACACATACACACACAAACTGTGTCTGTCTCTCTCTCTCTCTTTGATTGTTAATGAATATCCATTGGGTCCAAACCTGTGGATAATAACCCAAAAAAGAGACTCTTTTTATGATATAAAAAACAGTTTTTTTTGTGTGTGTGTGTGTGTTAAGATCATGATTCTTCATGGGGTCTGAGGGATTCTGAATTTTCTGAGCTTTTCTTGGGTGTTGAGTTCTGAGTAAAAATCTTGCTTTTCTTCCTCATGCAAGCAAAACATCTTACTTTTTGCATTGTCTTTTTACTCTCTTTTTTTTTTCTTTGTAGTTTTTGAGGGTGGTTGTGGGGTTGATATAGTACACTACTAGTCCTAGTATACTCTTTTTTTTGTTTCATTTTTACCTTGTTCTTTATTGTTAAAGGAAAAAAGAGGTCCTCTTTTAGGACTGTTTGCTGGCCTTTGATTAACATTGTTTGGGGAGAAAGAGGAAAAACCAATGATTTGTTTTGAGTTTTTCTCCACATTTGGTATTTTCTGAGAGAACTTAAATAGTTGAAACTTATAAAGGATCCATCTTTTTAATTTGTATCAGACAGACAATCTTGAAATGCCACTATTAATTTTAATAGGAAATTCCAACAAAACATTTGCATAGAGGAAGCTGCAGTTGTGGAAGTTTGGCACAAGTTCTCAAAGTTGGTTACTTATCTTCTTTCTCTTCTACTGGTAACGTTGCATTCCTATATTTTTCTTGAACCATATATTATTTATATTTTTGATGTTTTAAGCTCAATTATGAGGTGGTGAAACATTTTTTTTCCTTTTCATATCATGTTCATGACTTTTCTATCATAGAGTTCCATGCTATCTGCTTTTCTTTATTTTCAGTTTATTCTTTGCTACTTTTTTTAAGAACATTTTCACCATATATGTGAGGTAAAGGAGAAAATTATTTATAGTGGTTGTTTTTTCCTTCAGCAGCGCTCAACGAACCCCAATCATAATAAAAGAAGAAAAAAAAAGTCATTTCGGTGCACTAAGCTGCTACCTGTGCGTCTAGGTAAGGGCCGGACCACAAGTGTCTATTATACTACTTGAGTGGAGTCTAATTCTAATTCTTTTACGGCTGATGTTGTGGTAGGATATGATTTAGATCTCTTTAACTTTAACCAGAGGTTGCAGGTTGAAGTCTCTAGAAATAGAGAATCTTTCGGCAGGGATGCTTTATCCCCTTAATGCCCTTATTCGGTGCGAATCTTGATTAGTGGGGTTAGTAGGTTTCGGATAACGGATGGTAAAAAAAATAATGTATTATTCGCAGAGACGTATCTAGGGGGTTCCATGGGGCATGTGAACCCATGCTCCCTGCCCTAAATCATGTATAGTAATGTTATATTTTTTCAAAAATATTTAAATATATGTGTGTGCACCCATGTTCAAAGTATTATACGATGTGATGGTTATTGAGTGTACCTCTCTGGGTGAGCTTGTAAGTTCAAATCGTATGTCAATGTCTGATTTTATCTTTTGCGTATTAATTAAATACTTTTTCTTTTTATTTCTTTTTTTGTTTGGTTTATTCTTTCAAAGTTTTCACACATTGAAATTTCTATTCTTCTTTTGTCGCTGTAAAATCTTATATGATTAAACAAAATGTGTATATTAAAACTAGTAGCAGCGTATGATGTAGCATATAGTCAATGGGTTCAACTGATCTCAATATTCAACATGGAAAATAGATATAGATGTAAGAAAATTACTATTTAAAAAATATTGAACTTATAATTCCAAAAGTTCAATGGCTACGTAATCGTAAGAACTAAATGTTGAACCCGTAAAATTTATATTCTGGATCCCCTTTTTTTAATAGTGTACCCATCCTGCCAAAATCCTGGATCCGCCTCTGATTATTCGTCTCATGACTTAAATCATAATCGTGAAATTTGGGATGCTGTATTTATATGAATCTCGTTGCTTGCTGCATGGGCGGAACCAGGTAGAGTGAACGGGGTTCAACCGAACACCCTTTGACGGAAACTGCACAATGTAATAGAGTAAAAATGATCTTTTTTTGTTATATGTGAGCTTTTTTGTAAATAGGTTATTCAGGCACATGAACTGGTCAATGCTTTTGCTGCCTAATTATTCTTATGACATAGGTATAGATCAAATGCCTTCTGCTCCTAACTTACCACCCTGGATGCTTAAGTAAAAGAAGGAAAAAGAGAACAATGTCTTGTCCATCCATGTGTGCCCAATCTCTAGTGTCTCTGAGTTCAAGCATTTTTGTAGCCAACGGTACGAGTTGGATTTAAATGACCGCGTTCCCTCCTTTGATTTCCCCACAAAAAAGGGGGGACAAGGAAAGTAAAAAGGTTAATTTGAACTTTGATGTGCTTGGTGGAAGTAAAAGCTAGGTGAAACAATTTATTGAATGACGTAGAGTTATTTCCTCTACCATCCATCGGTGCTAAGGCATATTGTCATTTCTTGTTTTCCTATAATTTATTATGATAAAATTTGTTGTTTTAGGTATATTTATGTTACTTCATTAACTCTCTAGGTGATATAATGTTGCCGAGTTTCCACAGAATCTGTTGATGTAATCTGCACTTGTTTTCAGCAAAAAGTATAGAGCTGTGAACTGTTGATGATCTATCAAAATTAAATTGTCGTGGAAGAACCTTTAAAGCGTCAGCAGCTATTCTTAGCACGTTCACTTCAGATTGTTGTTCCATAGTAAAAGCTGAAGTAATGTGCAACTGGATTTGCCACTAGAAATGGCGGAACCTCATACTATTATAGACGAAAATTTTCTTCATACAGCCAGTATTCCCATTAGTTTCCCCGATAGAGTTGGTCTGAACAATCAAAACCACGTTATGGACGGACAAAACCACATCATGGATGGACATGAAATTCCTATTCCTTTTATGCTGCAAGGAGAAGCCATAAACAGTTCTCAAGATTTTCTAAGTCTACCAAATTTTCCTCGAGCTGTTGACACCGGAGCAATCCACAGTGTGCTACCAATGAGAAACAGAATAAAGGAGTTTTCGCTGAGTACTTCATATCCAATCAATAACGCTTACACAGAGGATCAGTATATGGAGGGAATACCGATTTCTGCTGTGTCTCTTGCAAATCTTTTGGCTACTAGGAACGCTATGCCCGAGAATCATGAAAATTTAGCGGCATTGGCTTCCTTATCACATCCTGTAGAAGGTCATAAAACTGATGTTCTAGACTATCCTACCATGTTAAATCATTCGTTTGGATCCTATAGAAACTATGAGTTTGATGGTGTCCCGGAAATTGCTGGGACAATTGTAGGACGAACAGGATCCCAACCTTTCCAATTATCTCATGAGAATGTGAATTCAAACACATGGTTCTCATCAGAAACTGCTAGTATGAATTCCGACAGTCCCTCTGGATCCTCCTCCAGATTTAGCAATGAGCTTTCTTTAAGTCTTACATCAACACAATCTGGTGTTGCATGTGGGACTACTATCCGGGACCAATGCTCGGATATAAGCTGCTCCGGTGTCACCAACCATGCTTTCCCTCAAAGACGGTTTGATTCAGAGTTAACGTCTTGCAACAGCAGAAATCTGTCTTTAAACTTTGGCTCATACAAACCAGTCCACCTTTCGCAATTCTTAACCGGATCAAGATATCTTCGTGTGATGCAAGAAATACTTTCTGAAATGGCTCATTTGTCACTTCAAAATCATAACTTGGTAGGCTATAGAGGAAATGGGGCAGAATACGGTGCTAACACTTCTTTTACTTTGAGTTCTGATGATTTGCCTGATGAAGACCGTAGAATCATTGGTCAAATGAACTCTGAAGCAAAGAAAAAACATCTGGTGGCTTTGTTGCAAGTGGTAAGTTAGCACGGTTTTTGACATTATTCCCTAGACTATTCGATGATTATTTTTCTTTGTAGCAAGTGTTTACTCATCATATCGTTATATTATGTTTCGTATTTATGTTAATTTAGGTTGATGATCAATACAACCAATGCTTGGATGAGATTCATATGGTTATATCCGCGTTTCATGCTGTGACCGAGTTGAATCCTAGCATACATGCTCGTTTCGCCCTTCAAACTATTTCCTCTTTGTACAAAAACCTGAGGGAGAGAATAAGCAATTACATACTCGCAATGGGAGAACATTTTAATAGAGGAGGAGAAAGGGGAGTAGAGAAATCATTTGAAACATCGTTCATTCAAAAGCAATGGGCACTTCAGCAACTAAAAAGGAAAGATCATCAGTTATGGAGACCACAGAGAGGCTTGCCGGAAAGATCTGTCTCAGTTTTAAGAGCATGGATGTTTCAAAACTTTCTTCACCCGTAAGTTTTTCCATTTGTTTTAAAAATTTGACTTATATACACCGATTATATAAAGCACTATCAGTGTATTTTAACCTGTTATAGCACGTAACATGTCTTAGTGCTATACTAACTATTTCCGTTTCTGCTTGTATTGTAATAATTTGCATAAACGCTTAACACACGCCCGTTTCAGATATCCAAAGGATGCAGAGAAGCAATTGCTAGCAGTAAAAAGTGGATTGACTAGGAGCCAGGTACAGTTGCATTGCATAAGAAGTTTTGAATATATTCTTTATCAAGATATCGATATTGAATTGTTTAGAGCAGAATATTGATCATTTTCTCTTGTTTAATTCATTGAAATCCTAATTTACACCAACATTTGTTTTGATCAGGTATCTAATTGGTTTATAAATGCTCGAGTTCGTCTCTGGAAACCAATGATAGAGGAAATGTATGCTGAGATGAATAGAAGGAAAATTCGTACCGGAAATCATGAAGATGAAACCAACAATCGAAGAAATCACAAAATTGACAATCGTTTATTTACTATGAAGTGACATTATTAATAAATATATATATATAAATTAATATATACTAGTACTAGTTTAGTAGAAGATCTTCATCATCTAATAGTAGAGAAGATAATTTGCACAAAAATTGCGCAATTGTACATCTGCTGTATCTAAGACTAGATTTTGTATGCTATGCTAAATATGGTTTATATTTATATTATTCATATCTCTTTTCTGTGTGTTGTTGTAACGACCCAAACGGTCGTTTTGTGCATTTGAGCCTTGTTTTCTGTCCTGATGCTTCACACATGTGTATTTGTGGTTTTATGACTTATGGGGTTGATTAGTTTTGTTCTTAAAAGTTTTTGGGTTGATTTGGACCATTTGGTTCTTGGTTTAGAAGTTTAAGATAGAAATGTTGACCAAAGTTTGACTTTGTGAAAACAACCCTCGAACGGTGTTTTGATGGCTCCAACAGGTCCGTATCGTAATTTTAGACTTGGACATATACTTGGAATTGAATTTGGAGATCCCTAGGTTGATTTGGCTTGTTTTACCGAAAGTTGGCAATTTGAGGTTTAGAAGTTTCCCTGAGTATTATGGAGGTGAGCAGAGCCGCCTTTACTATATTTTAGCTGTCAGGAGCAACGTATATGTGGTGGCAGGCTTATGAGGAGGGCAGGTAGCTGATGCAGCCCTACTCACTTGAGCTTAGTTTTCAGAGATATTTTTTCGGGAGTTTATTCCCCAGAAGGATGCATGGCGCATAGAGTTTGAGCATCTATGTCACGGGACTACGTCAGTGTCAGAGTATACCATCAGATTCGGTGAGTTATTGGAGACGGATACTCTATTTCAGCAGGTTGTAGAAATCGCTCGGAGGATGGAGGATATGCGGGGCTGAGAGAGGGAGGACAGGGAGGCTAAGAAGCCTCGAGATTCTGGAGGATATAGTGGTGCCCGCGCTCCGGTTGCAGCTCGTCATGGTAGAGGCTATGTGGCACTTCCAGCTACTCGCAGTGCTCCGGCTATTTCGAGGTCTCAAGTCGCCTATTATGCACAATCACTTTCCAATGCACCTCCTGCATGGGATGCCTTCAGTGGTCAGTCTAGCCGACCAGGCCAAAGTCAGTTTCAACAGTCATGCCCACCGAGAGCTTGTTTCGAGTATGGTGATACCAGACATATGGTGAGGGATTACCCCAGACTGAGGAGGGGTGCACCTCCATAGACTACATAGGCTCCATGAATTTCGCAGGATTCACATGTTATACACTACAACAAAATGGGTCTTTAGCGACAATAAAAACGGCGTTTAGTGGCGATAGAAATTGGTCGTTGTTCATGGGGTCGCTAAAGCTTTTAGCGGCCATTCACAAAAGTGTTGGTAAAGGTAGATTTTAATAGCCACTAAAAGTCACAAAATTTAACAGCAATTGTTTAGTGGCAATAATAATAGCCGCTAAATCCATTTCTGAAATTGCTTTATTTTCTCCTATTTTTACTGCCAACATATCCAATTAAATTGTCGCTAAAATCACAAGCATTTAGAACAACTGTTTTAGCAACAATTGTAATGGCTGCTAAATTCTTCTCCAAAATGACTTAGTTTATACATTTAACGTCCATTTTTATTTTCAGTAAATCCAATTAAATTATCGGTGAAAAATAAACCTTTTAGTGGCAAATAAAAGGTACAATTTAACAATCTTTTTATTGCCGTTAGAACTTTAAATAAATTGGCAAATAATAATAAAATATACTATTAATTCACAATAACATAATATATTTCATTAAATCTAGATAAACAAAATCAAGTACTAATTCATAATATTAATGTATCAACAACATAAAAAATATTACATTATTTGAATTAAATAACTAATGACATTATAACTAATCCTATCGAAGATCCAAAGCTAGCGTTTGGCAATACATTCCCAAATTTATTTTGAAAAATCTGATTTGGGTGAAGTTTGGTTTGAAGATGAAAATGTGGTTGGACATGATTTTTCAAAACATATTTCACTTTTTATTTGAAAAAACATGAAATATGACTTATACCTACAAGTTCTAAAAACTATCACAAACACCCAATAGTACCAAACAAACAAACTTGCTATCTTGTATATACAGAACCTGTTGAAATTGTCAAAAGTCCCACATCGGTGGATGACAATTTTGAATGGGAATTTCACCC